GAGGAGGAGGAGGAGGAGGAGGTGGAGGAGGAGGAGTATTTAGTACTCCGCGGGCCGCCCGTCGCCGCGCATCGCACCGAGGCCCGAGGCGAGACTAAGGGGAGGCGAAAGGAGGGAGAAGGGGAGGGGGGGGGGGACACTCGCCCTCATCCTGGGCGCCTCGCCTTGACCGTCGCCTTCGGCTTGAGAATCGTGGCGCCTATCCGCAGGATGCCCGCACGTAGACACCGAGGAACAGCACGCCCACTGTCTCCAGCTTCATCGCGACAGCACGAGCGGAAGCACGAAATACACAGGCATGAAGGCGGGTGCTGCACGAAAGCCCCGAAGTCCCTGCTCCTGGTCAGGTAGCTGGTGGGCATGGGCCTGATGCTCGCGTTGATCTCGGCGACCATCTCCTCCCAGTTCCTATCCAGGTCGTCCTCATACAGGGCTTCGAGGAAGCAAGACGTTTCTCCATAGGGATCGTCCCCCAGCAGCGGCCACCAGCCGTCCAACCAAGCCGAAGCCTCCACCATGCACGAGTTCGCCACGACCAGGACGCACGGGTGCACGTGCGGGCCAGCGCCGACGACCTCGACGTGCGCCTTCTCGATCATGTGGTTGCTGGCCTGCTGCACGGACTGCGACATGCCGACGGACTCCCTAGGGTCTATCATCTCGCCGAGGGCCACTCCACCTACCACCTGGGCCTCCTGCTCCACGCAGGATGTCGGGGAAATCGCCTCCGCCTCTCCTCCAACCACCTGGGCGCGGCGTGGGGAGCCGACCACTCCTCCCTCCACCTGGGTCGGGCTCCTCCCTCGGACCTCTCCGCCAACCACCTGGGTCCTGGCCTCTCCTCCCGCCACCTGGGCCCTTCCCGACGCGGGGCTCTCACCTGCGAGTCCACCGCTGCAACACTCGGCCTCTCCTCCCACCACCTGGGCCTCCAGCACCACCATGGCGGCAGTAGCGCTGGCGGGCTCCACCGCCAAAGGCCACACCTTCGACGGGCACGCGTCCACCTCCTCCACAGCTGCGTCGCCTGCGGAGCCGTACCCGAGCTCCTCCAACAGGAGCACCTCGGGAGGAACCTCCCAGACTCCAGGCGGCCGCAGCGGCCAGAAGGGAGCAGCATCACGACGGAGCCCGACACAATGACGGCGTACTTCCAGCCGAGGTCCCCCTTGGGCGTGCCTGAGCTCAGCGCACGAGGCATCCGCAAAGCGCAGACCTCCGCCATCAGCGTGGAGTGCCGTATTGCGACGTAGCACACCAAGATGCTCCGGAACCTGGCCGGCCAGCATCTTGCTCAAAAAGGGCACCGCTGCCAGCAGCCGATCGACCAGCTCACGGTCGCCTCCAGACACGAGCTCGACGGACTCGAGGAGCTCGACGAACTTGTCCTTCTGCGCCATCAGCTGGGTGTTCAGCCGTGCCACCTCGGCATGCGCTGCAGCGAGCCCGAGGTCAGCAGCAGCCTGCGCCCGCCGCCGTGCGGCCGAGCGCTCGGCACGCGAGCGCCGTTGACCTCCATGAGGATCGCCAGGCGGCGACCCTGCCCGTGCCATCCCAAGCGGTCCCGCGCGGCCGAAAGCGGGCGGAACACACGACTTGAGCCAAAATGGCTACGGAGGAACAGGAGGAGGAGGAGGAGGAGGAGGAGGAGGAGGAGGAGGAGGAGGAGGAGGAGGAGGGGGAGGAGGAGGAGGAGGGGGAGGATGAAGAGAAGGAGGAGCAGGAGGGGGGGAGTCTGGCGCCGTGGTCCACGGGAACGCCTCTCTCCGTTCGAGGCTCGCCGCCCCCTGCCCCGCGGCCCGCGGCCACCCATAAGGCTCCGTCGGCTCGCCGCCACGAGGCGAACCCGGCCAAGATCGCCATCGAGTCGGAGGTCTGGCCCAGGGCTGGACCTGTAAACGTTGTCTTTCGTCTTGCTTTCGATCTGTTGTTCGCTTTGCTCTGCCTGTCTTCCGGGTCCCTCCCTGCCAGAACGCATGACAAAACGCAGCCGAAGTCTTGCAAAACAGCGTTTAGATCCAGCCCTGGTTTAGCCCCTCCCCTTCGATCCCTTTCCCACTGGGCCGCTGGGGTGGGTGGGAGTGTCCCGGGGGAGTCTCGGTGGGGGTCCATCGGGGGCGGCCAAGGGGGGGGCGTCCAACAGGGCGGGAGGGGGCGCAAATCATGGCCGGCGGCACGTGCGCGGCCCAGGGGGGGGCTGGGGACACATTGAAACGAGAAGAGGCGCCGTGAAACATGTGGAGATGTCATGGCCCCCCCCTCCTCTAGTCATCACTCCCTCCTTGACCGCCCCAGAGTTCAGGACGTTGGCCCCCAACGCGCCCCGCCCGGGATTGACTCGAGCGACCTTCTCGGGGCCACTCTGCCGATGCACGGGAGACCACTGGGCCTGCGGGGGCCCTCTCGGGGCGAACCTCTGAAGGGGCCCAAGGACACACTAAGAAATACACACAAACAACAGGATCCCCCACATTTTCCCATATTTCCTAAGTGTTTGTCTTCCCCCCCACGTCCCATATCTTCCTATATTTTCCTGGGAGTCGACGATTCATTGTGTCTGTGTGTTTTTGTCCCCTCCTGAACCTCGGCCGACCTCGCTGAGTCTTGGAGCCTTCGAGGGAAGTGCTGGAGGCCATGAGCCGACCGAGGGAGGCCAGGTCTCGGCTGAATCCCTTAGGCGCCTCTGAATGAGGCGACGGTCGACGGCCGACGACCGACGACCGACGACCGACCATCGCCGACGACGCCGACGACGACGACGACGTCGGCGAGGCCAGAATCGGCCGCATCCCTTAGGCATCGGTCGCAAGAGCGTCCGAGACAGCCCAGGCAGCCATGACTGGCCCAACATGGCCCGAGGCGCCCGCGAGGCCCAGGAGACGGCCACAAGAGGAGACCCCGGAGCGCGCTACCGCCGCGCTCTGGAAGCCATCCCCTTCAACATGATCACAAGTCCCAGGACGCCCAAGCGGGTCACAAAAGGCCCCACAAGAGCCCCCACGAGAAGCGCCCCGAGAAACCCCCAAGTCGCCTTCAGCCACTCCTGCGCGCGCTCGGCCCCAGTGAGGGGGATGGCGTTTAAGATCTCCTCCTCGGTTGCCTCTGGCAGCAATGCCCGCGGGTTCTGCCGCGGGCAAGCAGCGCCCGAATGCGGCCAGCCAGCCCACCCTCGACCCCAATGTCGCAGGACCGAAGTCCACGCCGCCAAGCTTTGGTGCCCACTGCAACCTCAACCGGCGGGACGAATCCTCCGCCCACCCGTCGTGGGCTGGCGCGCCCAGCTATTTCCAGGCAGCGTCGCCGACGACGCTGTCCTGCTCTTCCGCCACCGGCTAAGGCTCCAGGGTGCGCGCGTCGTGCAAGAGGGCTTTCGACGCCACCTTGCGTTGGACATGCCACGCTGCCTGCGGCGTCGCCTCCTTGCGGCATTCGCCGCGGTTGTGCGCGCTGCTTCAAGCCGCCTTCGAGCCGGCTCCGCCGCCACTGAGCAGGGGCTCTGGTTCGGTCTCGAACTCGCCCCAATGCGCGCTGCCCAGGGCAGGCAAGCCGCCCTCCACCTGATTGAAGTTTGTGATGGCCGGGTCGGGTCCGAGCTCCTTTTTCGCCGCGCTCGGGGATGCACGCTGCACTCTTACAGGTCGAGCTTGAGGCTAACGCGGGCCAGCTCTTCCTCGGGGATGCCGAGGGCCTCGTCGACGTGCGTCGGCCCCACAACCAGCAGCATGTCATCCACCAGGCTGGGGATGTGGGCCCAGATCTGCTTGGCCGCCGGGCGAGGGCCAGCAGCTGGCAGGCGCAGCCTCAAGCCTCGCGAGAAGGCAGGCGTTGAGGATGTATCACCCTGCCCCGTACCCTGATCCTCCTCCAGCGGCCCGCCTCTTTCTCCATGAGCGCCGTGTTGGGCGCCCTCCAGATGCCTGCCAGGAACGCCCCGTTGGCTGGGCACCAGGCCGTCGTGCCCCGGAGCATGGCGGCGAGCGCGATGGTGCCGTAGGCGCTCGCCGCGTCCAGGCTGCAATAAGCCAGCTTGGGGCCTAAATTCGTAAGCCCTGGGTGCCCCATGAGCATAAGCTCTGGCCCCGCTGGTTGACATCCATACTGTGTCCAGTGCAGCCCCTCGGAGATGGAAGCGCCCTCGCACGGCCGTTGGTGTCGATCCGTCTCCTGGACTACACCACTCTCGAACTTGAAGAAACACTCAGCCAGCGAGACGTTCCTCGGCTTCCCGTTCTCCTTGTTCACGGACCTCATGACCTGCTCCAGCATGAGGCGTGCGAGGGGTGGGGCACTTTGCCGTCGGGCCACGCCTGGGCCCAGGCTGTGAGGCACCTGACGCCCCCCTTCGCCTCACCACTGGCGCACGGAGCGTCGTTGCACGTTGCGGATCCTCGGGTTTGCGCTCCCACGCGCAACTGCTGCAGCTTGTACCTCACGTCCGTCTCGCTGATATTCATCTTGGTCTGCTCCGCTGCCTTCAAGGCCTCATCCAAGGCCTTGCGCGGATCGACGGCGTCGAAAGGATACTGCAGTAGCTGGTCGCTCTGTGCGGCTGCCGTTGCTTCGCACGCGGGCAACAAAGTCTGTCCCCGGAAGGTCTGCACCGCAGCCCTGGTGCAATCATGCTTCACCTCGGCGACTGCAGCCCTTCGCCGGGGCCAATCTTTCCACCCGTGGCTCCTTTCCTCTGGGCAGTGCAGACACGCCTGGGGTGTCTCCTGGCTGCGTTCAGGGATGCGCGTCTTCAGCTCGTCCACTGTTGCTGCTGCTAGTATTGTTGTTTAAATCTTTTCCCGAACTAATAATTATTATTGATCCCCCCTGTTGGGCGCATTATGTCTTTCAATCAGAATGCTCCTCTCATGGCTCCCACCTTTTTTTCTGGAAACCGAGGGGTCACCAAACTGGGCCCCTGGCCGCCGAGTTACAACAACAACGACCCCCGCCTGATACATTCTCACTATGTATTCCAAACTCGCGGTCTCGCGCGGGACCTCCTCACAAGTTATGCAGGCATCGCGATTTCGCATGGGATTCCCTCGCAATACATTCAGACGCAGCGCCCTCGACAGTCAGGACTCGCGGCTTCGCTGTGGCCACTCTCACGATCTACTTCGGAACCGCGGTCTCGCTCGAGCCCTCCTCGCGCTTCATGCAAGATTCACGCATCCGCAACACGCCTGCTCGACCTGGCCGCTTGGGCTCGCCTCCCCGACCCGCCCGTCAGGCTCTACCCACCCGCTGGGCCCGTCTGGTTCTGCCACGTGCTTGCTGCTCCTATAGCCCCCATCCTGCGAATCCCGTGCTCCGTCCTTATCCCTCACCCTTCCATCCGTCCTCTCTTCCCCTTTTCTCGAGGGCTGCTCCAATCACGCGCGGCAGGGAAGGAAGACATCCCCGCGGAGGGGACGATGGAAGACGAAGAGGGCGTTGTGTCCCGCCCCTCTGTTGTTGAACTCCCATTTCTGAAGAATGGGTATCCTTGATCCCACCCTTCTGGTAATCATTGTATTCGTCCTATTGAAGTGCCCCTCCCGGGGCTCGTTCCCTGTTTTGGTCAGAGAAGGTCTTGAGCCTCAAACTGGGCTGCGGGCGCCGGGATTACAACAACCACGGCTCCCGCCGGATACTTCCTCAAAACGTATTGGGAAATCGCGCTCTCGCGCGGGACGCCTCCACAATGTATGCACGAATCGCGCTTTCGCGCGGGACTTCCTCGCCGTGTGTGCAGGCGTCGCGCCTCCATCCCTCAGGAATCACATTGTCGCTCTGGCCTTTCCCACGATTGACTTTGGAATCGCGCTATCGCTCGAAGCGTTCTCGCGATTGGTGCTCGCGCTTCGACAACCCGCCTGCTCGACCTGGCCGCCTGGGCCGGCCAGCCCGACCCGCCAATCGAGGTCCACCCGCCCGGTCTGCCCGTCTGGTTCTGCCACGTGGCTTCTGCTCCTAGCCCCCCTCCTGCTATCTCTCTCGTGCTCGATCCTTCTCCCTCCCCTAGTGGGCCCCGGAAACGGCAGGGCCGTTTTTTCACCGTTTCCGAAAAAATGTCCCTTGAACATGGAAACGGCAACAAAAACAGCGATGGGAAACGGCAACAAAAACGGCTCCAGGAATGGAACCGGAGCGGGAAACCCGTAAAAGAACGGCGACGGACCCAACAAAAAAACGAGGTCGGAACCGGCAGAAAACGGCAAAACGGAACCGGTAGAAAAACGGCCCTGTCGTTTCCAGGGCCCACTAAGCTCCCTCCCCCCTCCATCTGTCTTCTCTTCTCGTGCTTGAGGGGCTGCGCCAACTACACGCGGCAGGTAGGGAAGATATACCCCCAAGGGGGGGGTACGACCGAAGACCAATAGGGCGGGTACCGAAGGTTTGGGATATAATGGCTGGGTGGCATCCGAGCAGGTAAGAATGAGCAGTCTGAAAATGACTCTTGTTGTTGTTGTCATCATCGTCGTCGTCGTTGTCCTAATTGTCTCCTCGTCGTCGTCGTCGTCCCCTTCCTCATCCTCCTTCTCC